ATACAAGAACTTGTGGGCCCTCAATGAAACTAATGAGCAGTAGGCTTAGAACAGATAAAAGGAAGTACGTTTTCACCAAAGAGTAAACAATATATGGGATTCACTACCGCGGGAAGTGGTGGGGGCTACAAGCATAGACAGCTTCAAGAGGGGATTGGATAAACATGGAGAAGAGGTCCATTGGTGGCTGTCTCTGGGGCTGTGATGCTCAGTATTCTTGGTGCTTGGGGGACAACAGTGGGAGGGCTTCTGGAGTTCTGGCTCCGCTGATGGACCACCTGATGGCACCTGGGTTTTGGCCAGTGTGTGACACAGAATGTTGGACTGGATGGGCCATTGGCCTGATCCAACGTGGCTTCTCTTATTTTCTTATGTACCCTAACTTTTTGGAAGCTCTCTCCCCAGCCTGTTTCCTCTTCCTTGTCTCATCGGTCTCCTCTTTCTGGGATCCCAATTCTGTTTCAGGTACAGGAGGAAATCATGCAGGAGCGTTACCCTGGAGCAACCTTTCCAGGTAATGTCTAAAGGGGTGTCTTTTCCAGTGGGTGTTCTCCTTGAGTGTAGGTGGGCTGCTTTTATGCCCCCCTCCTGTGCTGTGTGGGAAAGAGGGAGGAGGAGGAGGAGATTGGATTTATACCCCGCCCTTCACTACCCAAAGGTGTGGCAGAGCTGCTTACAAACTCCTTTCCCTTCCCCTCCCCTCCCCACAACAGACACCCTGTGAGCAGTGTTCCCTCTAATCTGAGTTAGTGTGAGCTAGCTCACAGTTTTTTAGCCTCCAGCTCACACATTTTTGTCTCAGCTCAGGAAGGATGGCCTCCAGAGCAAACTGATTTATGCAGTAGCCAAATCGTTTGCTCTTAACTTTAACACCAGTAGCTCACAAAGTAGAATTTTTGCTCACAAGATTTCACAGCTTAGAGGGAACATTGCCTGTGAGGTAGGTGGGGCTGAGAGAGCTCTTGACATAAACTGCTCTTTTTCAAGGACAGCTCTTATCAGAACTACGATTTGCCCAAGGTCATCCAGCCAGGTGCAAGTGGAGGAGTGGGGAATCAAACCCTGTTCTCCCAGATTAGAGTCCGCACACTTAGCCACTACACCAAACTGGCTCTCCAAAGGTGCTCCATTCCATCTTCTCCTTTTCAAATATTCCCTGTCAGTCCAAAAGTATCCATGTATGAACCAGCAATTTAAGTTATGTCCATGAGCCATTATACAGAGAATATATTTTCCCCCAATGCTCAAGGAACAGAAATGGAAAGAATGCCTTCCAAGTACCCTTTTTCCTTCACAGGTGGTGCCATGAAACCGGTGAGGTATTCTTTGCCATCTCTTTGTGACAAAGCTGCTTCCGTGAAGCCAGAGCAGGTAAGGGTGGAACTTCAGATCACACCCCTGGGTGCCTCCCCCCACCTCTCCCCCTAGGCCTGAGAGATTATTCCTCTTCCTTTTCACTGCGGTCCTGCTCACTCAACAGAAAAGGATGGTACCTCATAAAGGTTTGAATGCTTCAGCATATAACCAGAATCCTTATTGATTGACCTTAGAAGGAAAGAACTGCTACATTAGCGTGAGGAGAAAGAGCTTCCTTTTTTGTGTCTTTTCAGGGTCTGGTGACCTTTGAGGAGGTGTCTGTTGATTTCTTGGAGGAGGAGTGGGCTCTGCTTGATCTGGACCAAAGAATCCTTCACAAGGAAGTCATGGAGGAGAATTGTCAGGTTGTGGCCTCTCTGGGTAAGGCTCCCCTGTCCCTTTGATTCACAGGTGCTGAAGGCAGAAATGGCTCCTTCTAAGAAGGACGGTAGTAGGGCTCTTCTCATAGGGAAGCATGGTAAGCAGTGGGGTACCGCAGGGATCAGTACTTGGTCCACTGCTTTTTAACTTGTTCATTAATGATTTGGAGATGGGAGTAAGCAGTGAAGTGGCTAAATTTGCGGATGATACAAAGTTGTTCAGGGTGGTGAAAACCAGTGAGGATTGTGAGGCACTCCAAGGGGATCTGTCAAGGATGGGCGAGTGGGCGTCAACATGGCAAATGGGGTTCAATGTGGCCAAGTGCAAGGTGATGCACATTGGAGCCAAAAATCCTAAATATAAATACACATTGATGGGGTCTGAACTGGCAGAGACTGAGCAAGAGAGAGATCTTGGAGTTGTAGTGGATAACTCACTGAAAATGTCGAGACAGTGTGTGACTGCAATAAAGAAGGCCAATGCTATGCTGGGGATTATTAGGAAGGGTATTGAAAACAGATCAGCCAATATAATAATGCCCCTATATAAATCAATGGTGAGACCTCATTTGGAATACTGTGTGCAGTTCTGGTCACCACACCTTAAAAAGGATATTATAGCTTTGGAAAAAGTGCAGAAAAGGGCAACTCGAATGATAAAAGGGTTGGAACACTTTCCCTATGAGGAAAGGTTAAAGCGCTTAGGGCTCTTTAGCTTGGAGAAAAGACGACTGAGGGGTGACATGATCGAGGTTTATAAGATTATGCATGGGAAAGAGCAGGTAAAGAAAGAGGTACTTTTCTCCCTTTCTCACAATACAAGAACTCGTGGGCACTCCATGAAACTGCAGAGCGGTCGGGTTAGAACGGATAAAAGGAAGTACTTCTTCACCCAAAGAGTGATTAACACATGGAATTCACTGCCACAGGAAGTGGTGGGTGCTACAAGCATGGACGGCTTCAAAAGGGAATTAGATAAGCATATGGAGCAGAGGTCCATCAGTGGCTATTAGCCACAAGGTATAGCTAGGGGCTCTGGGGCAAGTGATGCTCTGTCTTCTTGGTGCTTGGGGGGGGGGTCAACAGTGGGAGGGCTTCTAATGTCCTGGCCCCACTGCTGGACCTCCTGATGGCACTGGTATTTCTGGCCACTGTGTGACACAGAGTGTTGGACTGGATGGGCCTTTGGCCTGATCCAACATTGGCGTCTCTTATGTTCTTATGTTCTTATGGACCATCGTTAGGGGAGTGGAGTGGATCAGGTCCACACACAGGTAAGGGGGAAGAATCTGCATGAGTAGTGGACTTCCGAAATATTAGTTCGTAAGCAAATAGGAGAGTTTGTAAGGTTAAAAAAAAAATCCTCTAAAGGGCCATTGAGGATTGTACAGATGAATGGCCATGGAAAGGCAAGGGGCAGACAGCCAAAACGGAGGGTTTTTTACTTGGTCTCATCATGGGCTATTCTGAGCTCTTTCAGGGAATGAAGAAGAAGAAAAGAGATTGGATTTATACCTCGCCCTTCAATTGGAGTCTCAGAGCGGTTTACAATCTCCTTTCCCTTCCTGTCCCCACAACAGACACCCTGTGAGGTCGATGGGGCTGAGAGAGCTCTTGAGAGAACTGCTCTCAAGAGAACTTGTGAGGGACCCAAGGTCAGATAAAAAAAATAACCTACATAGACCAAGAAATCAAATCAAAAAAGCTAGTTGCAGATACTTTATCTGTTTAGAATGTGATAGTGACTCCTGACTTCTGCAAAGTATAAACATTCCCAGAAGGCAAAAGTCATGTGAGGCAAATTTGTGTACAGGGTTATCAGTACCTAAAGGCCTCAGCACTTAGCAGAGTCCTGAAGCCTCCTGGAAACAGAACCTCAGATTAAACTATAGAGCAGTGGTGGCGAACCTATGGCACAGGTGCCAGAGGTGGCCCTCAGAGGTGGCCCTCCCTGTGGGCACGCGTGCCATCACCCCAGCGAGGCCCAGACCATCATTAAAGTGTCGAATTCTCTGCCAAATAATTTTAAGTAAATGAAAGTATTTGGGATTCCTTTCCTTACTTTGTTTGGATCATCTTAAGTTAATGTATGAGTTGTTTTTTCTAAAGTAAAACCTCAGTATTCAGGTTAAATTGCCGTGTTGGCACTTTGCGATAAATAAGTGGGTTTTGGGTCGCAGTTTGGGCACTTGGTCTCTAAAAGGTTCGCCATCACTGCTATAGCGCATACTTGCTATAGAAATCAAAGTACCATGAGTGTACCAGAGGTTTAGCAGAGGCCTGAGGCGCAATCCAGCCCTAGCTTCCTTGATTCTCTGAGACAACCTAGTTTAATCCAGCTTTCCTTGACTTTTCTGACCCCAAAGACAAAGGTCTGACTTTCTTGTATATGTCAAATGTATGCCAAATGCTCATCAGAGACTTGGCTAACAAATTAGTTTCTATGGGTGAAAAGGGGTACTAAATGTCTGAATTCAGTTTTGTTCCTGGTTGTGCTGGCCAACTACCCTCAGTTATGGGTTTTGACCGAGCAACCAAGGATATCCTTTATAGAACTTTAAGTGCACTATTTATGTATTGGGGTTGTGTTGAAATATTCGATGCTGAATATTGAAATGCTACAAAAATGTTTTCTGACTTACGAGTGTGTAATGGTCCCTCTAAAGCAAGTCTTACTATCTTACAGAGAGTGATTACAATGTGGAATTCTCTGCCAGAGGATGTAGTGATGGCCACAGGTAGAAAAAACTTTAAAAGGGGATTAAATAGATTCATGAATGATAAGTCTACCAGTGGCTACTAGCCATGGTGATGGAGGGGAACCTCCACGTTCAAAGGCACGAAACCTCTGAATCCCAGGGCCAGGAGCAATGCTCCCTCTAAGCTGTGGAGTCTTGTGAGCAAAAATTCTACTTTGTGAGCTACTGGCATTAAAGTTGTGAGTGAACGATTTGGCTGCTGCATAAATTAGTTTGGAGCCATCCTTCCTGAGCTAAGACAAAAATGTGTGAGCTGGAGGCTAAAAAACTGTGAGCTAGCTCACACTCACTCAGCTTAGAGGGAACACTGGCCAGGAGGCAACGGGGGAAGGCCTCAGCCTTGATGCCCTGTTGCTGGCCGTCCAGAGGAACTGGTTGGCCACTGTGTGAGACAGGCTGCTGGACTAGATGGACTATTGGTTTGATTCAGCACTGGTCTTTTTATATTCCGGTGTGTAAGGGTGACAACATGCACTGCTGTGTTGGAACAGCTTCCCCTGTATGGTAGTGAAGTCTGAATACTAGCCAATTCGGCTCACCTTCTGTTCACCAGCTGAGAACATGGAGCCAGTTTGCTGTCACTTCACTGTTTGCAAACAGTTCAACCCCCTTGGGCAGGGGGACTTTTCAAGAGCAGTGTGGTACAACTGGAAGTCTAATGGAATTGTCATCACTCGTTCAACTTATATCAGAGAGCCTGATGGCAGTCCTACATTTCCCCCTCTCTCACAGAAATGGGTCCATGGCTCAGTGGTAGAGCAGCTGCTTGGCAACCAGAAGGTCCCAGGTTCCATCCTCAGCATCTGCTATTTAAGGAAATTGCAATTGCTAGCAACGTAGAGAACGCCTGAGCTTTGGCTTTTGACTTTGGAACTTGAGATTTGTGCCGTCTAATGCCAGCCCCAAAAGGGTTAGACAGTTGAGCTAGTTCCTTTATTTTCTTGCTGCATGATTTTAGAGAATTGAGTTGGCTATAGAATAAACCTTTATATCCTTTGAACTTGAAATAAACCTTATAAATTTATTTTTAAAAATAAACAATGGTCTGGCTACTTGTAAATGACTGCCCTGGGGGACCCACGGGGTTCAGGCTTGGACTCCTTGACACCTTAACTGAGGGGACAATTGTATGGCAGAAGACAGATCCTCAGGTACTTTAAAGGTACTTAAAGGTGATACCCCAGCACCAAGAAAGATGTCCTCGTTGGTCCATCTAGAGGAATTATAACTCTTCTTTCTGTGTTATACCTCTGAGGATGCCGGTCACAGCTGCTGGTGAACCGTCAGGTCCTACAATGCCAAGACCATGGCCATACAGCCCAGAAAATCTAGAACAACTAATGTAACTCTTCTGCAGTGTTCCCTCTAAGCTGAGTTAGTGTGAGCTAACTCACAGTTTTTTAGTTTCGAGCTCACACATTTTTGTCTCAGCTTGGGAAGGAGGGCTCCAGAGCAAACTAACTTATGCAGTGACCAAATTGCTGGCTCACAACTTTAATGCCAGCAGCTCACAAAGTAGAATTTTTGGTCACAAGACTCCACTGCTTAGAGGGGGCTGGACCTGGGATGTGATCAGTCCAGGGCAGGTGATGTGTTGGGGGGCAGCTGGTTTTTCCTTTATTTATTGTTTCTGTTGATTCTCCATGACTATCCTGCTCCTCTTTTAAGGAGTGGAAGCAGCATTTGTCAGGTTATTCCATTTACCTGCATAATGACCTTGTGATGTGGGAAAACGCTGGGAAAGAGTGATTGGCCCAAGACCACTCCAGTGCGCACTGTACAAGTGGGGAGCTCACCTTGTATCTTCATAGTTCATGAGGAGAACCCTCCTCCACCCTGTCTGTCCAGGAAAAGATGTTCTGTAATCTGTTTGAATCCAGGAGGGGATTGGCCAGCAGTCCCTCTAGTCCGGCCTCTCGTTTTCCAGAGTGGCCCAGTGGAGTCCCTGGAAGGTTCAGAAGAAGAGCCAAATCGTCCCCCTGCTTTTAACCACCCTTCAGAGAGGTATCTTCTCTTATCATGGTGGTTATACTGAGTCCCCTGGTCTCTGCTGGAACTACCCTCCAAGGAAGAATCAAAAACAAATTAATATGTGGCAAGATTTGTCTCCCTTTTCAGTGATTCCTGTTCCGTTGTAATCAAGAACAGTTAATGCATTTCTTTCCTTGATAGTCTTCTCTCTTTATTGCAGAGGCTGATAGTCCCCAGAATAAGTCCAAAGGAGAACTGCAATACTTCCTGTTGGAAGAAAAACAGCAGAGAAGAAACACTGAAATAAGATGGAAATGGGAAAATGAATCCTCCTCTTCTCAGGGTACTGAATCCCAAGTGTTTAATACATACAGAATCCACACAGCGGAGAAAGCATATAAATACTTGGACTGTGGAAAAAGCTTTTCTCAGAGTGCCCATATTACTGCCCATGGACGTATCCACACAGGGGAGAAACCATATAAATGCTTGGAGTGTGGAAAGAGCTTTGCTCGTAATGACAAGCTTACTGCTCATCAGCGAATCCACACAGGAGAGAAACCATATAAATGCTTGGACTGTGGAAAGAGCTTTGCTCAGAATGACAAGCTTACTGTTCATAGAAGAATCCACACTGGAGAGAAACCATATAAATGCTGCGAGTGTGGAAAAAGCTTTGCTTGGAGTGTAAAACTTACTGCTCATCGACAAATCCATACAAATGATAAAAAATATAAATGCTTGGATTGTGGAAAGGGCTTTTCTCGGAGCGACACACTTACTGCTCATCGACGAATCCATACAGGAGAGAAACCATGTAAATGCTTGGAGTGTGGGAAGAGCTTTGCTCGGAGTGAATCACTTACTACTCATCAACGAATCCATACAGGGGAGAAACCATATGAATGCTTGGAGTGTGGAAAGAGCTTTGCTTGGAAGACAAACCTTAATGTCCATAAACGTATCCACACAGGGGAGAAACCATATAAATGCTTGGAGTGTGGAAAGAGCTTTGCTTGGAAGACAAACCTTAATGTCCATAAACGTATCCACACAGGGGAGAAACCATATAAATGCTTGGAGTGTGGAAAGAATTTTGCTTCAAAGGGTGCCCTAACTGGCCATCAACGTATCCACATTGGAGAGAAACCATATACATGCTTGGAGTGTGGAAAGAACTTTGCTCGGAGCGAAATGCTTACTACTCATCGACGAATCCATACAGGAGAGAAACCATATACATGCTTGGTTTGTGGAAAGAGTTTTGCTTGGAAGACAAACCTTACTGACCATCAACGAATCCACACAGGGGAGAAACCATATAAATGCTTGGAATGTGGAAAGAATTTTGCTTCAAAGGGAGCCCTTACTGGCCATCAACGTATCCACATTGGAGAGAAACCATATACATGCTTGGAGTGTGGAAAGAACTTTGCTAGGAGCGAAACACTTACTACTCATCGACGAATCCATACAGGAGAGAAACCATACAAATGCTTGGAGTGTGGAAAGAATTTTGCTTGGAGGGGAGACCTTAAAGACCATCAACGAATCCACACAGGGGAGAAACCATATAAATGCGTGGATTGTGGAAAGGGCTTTTCTCAGAATCGCAACCTTGCTACTCATCGACGTATACACACTGGGGAGAAACCATATAAATGTTTGGAGTGTGGAAAGTGCTTTGCTCAGAAGACACATCTTGTGAAACATCAAAGAATCCACACAGTAGAAACTGAATAAATGCTTTTGGGCACTGAAAAAGCTTTGCTAAGTCATATGTTTAATACTCATTGATGAATCCACACAGGGGAAACATATGAATGAGTGGTTTGTGCAATGTGCTTTACAGAATTCAACCCTTAATTTCCATCAGAGTGCACCCACGGGGGAGAAATAAATGCTCTGAGTTTTGAAAGAGTTGCAGTTGCCCATGAAAGATTTCATATAGGGATTTTATACAACCATATAAATGCTGTGAGTGTGAAAAGAGCTTCATAACCTACTAGAAACCACACGAGAGAAACCGTACAATTGCTTGGAATGTGTAATGGTTTCAGTTGGAATTATTCCATGGTTTTGCGTAACACAATCCACAGTGGGGGGAAAGTGCTTCCAGTGTGCAAGAGCTTCAGCCACAAGCCTAACCTTGCAAGGCATCATGAGGTCCATGCAGGGGAACAACTTTGCTCCCTCTCAAAAAAACCAGAAGAAGGGGAAGCCATAGAAATGTTCACTGAGAGGCTGGAGTTTTTGTGCTAAATCAGGCTAGAACCAGAAGGCCTGGCCCAGATTAGCTGCACAGTACTCCTCTGCTCTTTGCAATGGAAGCCAAAGTTTACTCATGTGAAACCAGAAGAGTGCAAACAACCTAGACAAGGAGGGTGAAAAATATCCCCTCTGAAGAAGCACAAGGGGTATAACTACTTCCTTGGCCTATGACAGCCAGCGTGGAGGAGTGGTCAGAATGTCAGATCTGGGTAAAGGAGATTCAAGTTCGAATCCCCCCTCTGCTACAGAAGACTGTTGCCTGACATTGGTCCAGGCACACAGTCTCAGTCCGACGTACTTTGCAGGGTTGTTGGGAGTCTAAATGGAGGGGAGGAGAACAGTTTAAGCTGTGTTGTGCGGACTCTAATCTGGGAGAACCAGGTTTGATTCCCCACTCCTCCACTTGCACCTGCTGGATGACCTTGGGCAAGCCGTAGTTCTGGCACAGCTGTTCTTGAAAAAGAGCAGTTTCTGTCTGAGCTCTCTCAGCCCCACCCACCTCACAGGGTGTCTGTTGTGGGGAGGGGAAGGGAAAGGAGTTTGTAAGCCGCTCTGACACTCCTTTGATTAGTGAAGGGCAGGGTATAAATCCTTCCTCCTCCTCCTCCTCTTCTTCAGCAGTTGGAGCCAATATAGTTTAGTGGCCAGAATGTCTGTCTAGGATAAGGGTGGCCAAACCTGCTTATCATAAAAGCCACACAGAATAAATGTCAGATGTTTGAGAGCCGCAAGATATGAACAAATATTACAGACGTGTTTTTATTGAAAAAATATGCATATTTGCTTTTTGTTAAAATTAAATTAGACTGTGTGAAAGAGTCACATGCGGCTCCCAAGCTGCAGTTTGGCCACCCCTGGTCTAGGAGATCTGGTTTCCAATCCTGATTTTTCCACTGAATGTTGCCGTCTTACCTTGGGCCAGACACATTTTCAGCCTGACCTCCCTCATGGGGTCGTTGTGAGGGAAAATGGATTAGAAAAGAATGTAAGCCCCTTTGGGGACAAAGGCAGTGCTCGACATTTGTTATCAATCTAGTTTTGCGGGCCGGGCATTTCTTGGAGAGCCGTTGCAGCTGGCAGCGCAACCTGGGAGGAGCGGCCTTTCCAAAGCCTAGGGCCCTCTGTTCCTGCCCCGCTGTGGATGGCGATGTGCACTCCAGAAGGGTGTCTTCCGGTTGAACCCAAAAGGGAGGCTTCTTGGTCCGCTTTGCTGGGAGGGGAGAGTCAGATGCGACAGTGGGGCATTTCGGGGGGGGGGGAGCCTGTTCTCTGCAGCATTTAATTAACTTCCCCCTCAGAAATTTAAAGGAGCTGCGGTGGCTCAAGTGGTTAAGACGCTGAACTGCAGGTTGTGGAAGCTCGGTAGTTCAGCGGTTCGAGACCCAAGTGTGCCGCATGATGGCGTGAGCTCCCGTCTCTAGTTCCAGCTCCTGCCAACCTAGCAGTTCGAAAGCAAGAAATTGCAAGTAGATAAATAGGTACCACTTTGGTGGGAAGGTAACAGCGTTCCGTGCGCCTTGGGGTTTAGTCATGCCAGCCACATGACCACAGAAACGTCTTCGGACCGCGCTGGCTCTTCAGCTTTGGAACGGAGATGAGCACCGCAACCCTAGAGTCGGATTCGACCGGCTTTCGAGCAAGGGAACCTTTACCTTTACAGAAATTTAAATGCTCCCCTCATGAAAAAAACCTCCTGGCTACGGGCCTGGTTTTGCCCCCAGTTGTGAGGAAAGGATGGTCTCCGAGGCTCGTGGTTCATCAGTTATCGCTTCAGCTCTTCTGACAGGAGGCAGAGCTAAGGTTGTTGACCGAGAATTTGGAAATTCCTGGAGATTTCAGGATAGAACCTAGGGAGGGCAGGGTTGTGAAGGAGACATCGGGTCCACTCTCTACAGAGGCTTTTTTGTCCAGGGGAACTGATCCCATTAGCCTGGAGAAAAGTTATTCCAGGAGCTCCCCAGACCCCCACCAAAAGGATGGCAACCCTAGGCAGAGCTCATTCAGTATCCAGTTTGGTGTAGTGGTTAAGTGCACAGACTCTAATCTGGGAGAACCGGGTTTGATTCCCCACTCCTCCACTTGCACCTGGCTGGATGACCTTGGGCAAGCCGTAGTTCTGATAAGCCGTAGTCCTTGAAAAAAGAGCAGTTTCTGTCAGAGCTCTCTCAGCGCCACCCACCTCACAGGGTGTCTGTTGTGGGGAGGGGGAGGGGAAGGTGTTTGTAAGCCGCTCTGAGACACCTTTGGGTAGTGAAGGGCGGGGTATAAATCCAATCTCTTCTTCTTCTTCTATCCAACCAAGCATTAAATATTGTGAGTGGGCAAAGCTCTGGTTTCAAATAAACCCTCCTCTAGCTTTCTTTGCCGTTCCCACCACAGATATGCTCTTCTGAAGTCAGATTGCCATTATTTCAGTGCTGTCTGCACTCGTTCCCGAATTCTAGCCTGCTTCCCTTCCCCTCACTCCTGGGTTCCTTCCAGGAGCTTCATTCTTCTACCTTCCAAGGCTCAGAATCTCCTTGTATCTGCTAGGCATACTCCAGCATCCCTGCTCAGTAGGAAATTATTGCTTTATTTGATATGCTTCTTCTCCAGAAAGCTGCACAATGTACCTTACAACTAAACTAATAAATCCAAGTAAGGAATTAAAAACAAAACAGTGAAAACAAATGGAGCTCCTTAGGAAGGAGCCTAGGGTTGGAGACGTGTGTGTGTGTTGTGTTAAGGGGCAGAAGAAGGCCTAAAGAGAGGGGATGGTCCATGGTTATTATTAAATCTGCATTTCAATTTCTATTAATGCTGTTTTCTTTTTCTTGGAGTCAGCCCTGTTGAATAAATTTCAGTAGGTTTGTGAGTAGACCCACTTAAGATTGCTTTCACTGTTGTATAGTGCTATCAGGAGACTCAGTAGGTTCCAACATGTCTTTAATACTACTGAACAGACCATCTGATCTTTCATGCTTTCAAATGAAAGATATGGCCTGTAAAATGGTTTTCAGTTACTACCACAAATATGTACTGCAAAGATCAGTTTGGCTATTACTTCAGTTTTGTTGACACTCTTCCACTAACTCCAGTCTCCCCTCCCACCCATACACCTCTGTGATCCTTCCTGGAGCTTCACTCCTTTACCTTTTCCTTCCATCAGTGAGACTCTCCAGGTCCCTTTTAGCCACCTGTAGTCATGCTCTGATTTCTCCATGGGTTAGGAAGTCACCTATTGCTTCATTTCGAGAATTGATATCCCACCTCTCCAGAAGCCTGCTCAAAGCAGCACGCCACCAAAGAATACAGCCAAACTAAACTGGCAAGTATAAACAAGCCAAGAGATAAAAACTGTAAAAAGCAAACATTGAGCAGCCTAAAGAATACCTGTGAAGAATCTTCCTAACAAGATCAGACCTTAAATGGAACCCCTTAGTTAAATACCTGGGTCAGAAGAAACCTCTTTCTTAAAGGCACCAGGAGGCCAAGAGAGAAAGGGGAAGGGGGTGGGGGTGGGGGTGGCCTGTTAGTTAGTCACAATGTTCCCTCTAAGCTGTGGAGTCCTGTGAGCAGAAATTCTACTTTGTGAGCTACTGGCATTAAAGTTGTGAGCAGGTAGTTTGGCTGCTGCATAAAATTAGTTTGCTCTGGAGCCATCTTTCCTGAGCTAAGACAAAAATGTGTGAGCTGGAGGCTAAAAAACTGAGCTAGCTCACACTAACTCAGTTTAGAGGGAACACTGGTCTGGAGTAGTTAATCTGGAGTGAGCCTTGTGCCTAAAGCTGGAGAGAAACTAAATTTTGAAAACGGTATGAGAAGTGGTTTGAGAGAAGTTTTCCTCCTTGTTCCTGCGGTGGAAATAGACATGTTTCTTTCTTTTGCCCCCGGTCAAATAGATTTGCAGGTTTTTCAAAAATTACCCACCCCCTGTTTATTCCAGGGGAAAGCAGGAAGGTGTCTACCACACCAGCAGAGGGGCATTGGATCTGTGGCAGATCACCCACTTTGCACAATATAACAGGCCCACCATAACTGCCAGACCCCCCCCCACATTTACAGTTGTGCGATCCAGCTGTGCTGCAGGCAGCTGTTGTGGTTCAGGGCAGATTTCCACAGTGTCCTGGATTGCTTTAAATATAAGCCGGGAAAGTGACATCAATCCTACTAGACTCCCAGCTGATCTAGGAGGCCTGGAAACCCTTCGTAGAATCTTACAGCATATGCCTTCAATAGCTGATCATGTCTTGTTTGACAGCTGCAATCCCCTGTGGGCTGAATACTTGGTCTGTTTCTCTGTCCAAGCCTCTGGCTGAGGTCTTTCCTTCAATTGGAGATGCCAAAGATGGAACCTGGGACCTTCTGTGTGCCAAGCAGCTGCTCTACCACTGAGCCATGGACCCATTTCTACGAGAGAGGAGGAAATGTAGGACCGCCATCAGGCTCTCTCATACTTTCTGACCGAGTGGTGACAA